TATGTATATGTATATGTATATATATATATGTATATGTATATATATATGTATATGTATATAGATATATATATATATATATATGTTATTTGCTACAAGAATAATTAATCATAATTTGAATGATAATTAGAAGTGTCTCTAAATACCTCCTACTCTTAGAATGTGGGTGTCAAGAGGACCTCCTTTTAATGATGGCATTAATTTCTTTACAAACTTTGTTTAAAGTTAGGTTTTATCTCTTAAACTATGCTTAATCTACATCTACTCCACCATTCATGGTTAAAATCTATCATCTCTTTTGACACAAAAAAATCCATTAAACCCTATAATTACCCAATTATACTAAAATTAGATTTAATTGACATCATTATTTTCCAAACTAACTTGACAAACCCAAAACTCTTAAAATATCTACTTGGTCCATATTAATAAATGAAAGCAGAGTATTATTTCATCTACTTAAAAATCTGACACTAAACTAGTATAAAAGGGAAAAATTTGTAAGACGAACATCCAATTATAGAGAATCAGGTAACCTAGAGTGCTAAAAAAATTTATTTATTTAAAATCATTTAAAAAATATAGCGTCTTAAAAGAAATAATTTTTTTTTCCAATCATATAACCTATGGTGCTGTATTACCTCCATGTGGCGACGGCAACGGCGACGGCGACGGCGGCTGAGCAGAAGGAAGCTGCAGCATGGACGAACCGTTGTAAAACTTGTAAAACTCATATCTCATATTGCACCACGTCCCCAACGTCCTTCCTCCCCTCCTCCCTTTCAGAGGATCCCTGGTGATCTGATCCACCGAATCCTGCAGGCATGTCCGGCAATCGGTTGCTGTTAGATAACGCACGCACTGCACAAGTCCATATATGATGTGCCCCGTCGAGAGTGCCATCTCTCCGGTGGCGAACAGCAGCGAATTGTTTCTCACGGCGAGATCGGACGTGTTGCCCATTAGCACAGGCGTTAGAGTTTCAAACAGCGAAACTAGCCCGGTCGAGACATTTTGAGAGTTATACATGAAAAGCTTGATGTTTGAGGTGACGTCGGGAGCGTAGAGGAAGTTTTGGTTGGAGTAGCGGAGTAGGCAGAAATCATACCATATGGTGGCGTCCTTCTGGTTTGGGCAGAGCTGCTGGATGTCTGATATGGCGGAATAGATGCAGGTGCGACAGCTGTCTGAAAAGTCTTCCTCTGTTCAACTAATCAATAAGTCACTGCAGATTATTCTTTGGTGGCGGGGCTGGAATTCCATCAAACCAAGTTTGAAGACCTTTCATGACGGTCAAGTTGCGGGTTTGTTTTTGCTTGACAAGTTCATGAATACGGGTGACTGATCGGTTGACAAGTTTTACTAAGAAATCATTGGGAAACAAATCACGTGAAAATAGCGTTTGGTCTGTTTGGGTAAACTGTTTTATGATAGTTTATGTATTTTCAAAGCGCTGAAAACATCATTTTTACGTCGCACCTATTTAGGTGCGGTGACAGCTTTCTGGCAATGGTCTGTCTTTTTCAAAAAAATAAAAAATTGTAATAGCCACCGCATCTAGCTTATCAGCAGATTATTCAATAAATTGTAGTTGCCCCAAACAGATCCTGAATCTTTGGATTATAAATATAATAAATTATTTTGAAAGCATATTTGTTTTATTTTTAATAAATATATGCTCAGAAGACTGTATGGCTCAGAATAATTAAACGGTACTGAAAAATTTTCCTCTCTTTCCCAAAGGTCTTGGATGGATCACGTAAGAGAAAAATTTAAAACGATATGTACTTATTTTAGGAACGAATTGTTCTCCAAAATTTTGACACGTGCAGTTGAAAGAAGTATCTCGATGGATGAATTTGATACTTCAAGGATTGTAAGATGATTAAATTATATCCTAATCAAGGTGATGTTTGCAGTTCTTCAAGTGATGGTATAATACATTGATATTTCAGCCAAAAATTTATAAATAGGACATAATTTTGCATATCTAAATGGATGATTATGGTTGCAAGAATTCTCAATTTAGATTGTTTTAGAACCTTACTCGTTACCACCCAACTTCGGCCTTCTACTAACACCAATAAACATAAAATTTGTCAGCAAAAGATTGTCCATAAATCAATGTCGATGTTAATCAACATTAGTACCTAAAATACGCTCATCCATTATTTACGGTTGATGCTTGCAAGTTTCTAATGTTTTGTCTAAGCCTTCACAATTAATGGGTATTTCTTCTTATATGTAGAATGAGTAGTCATATCGCTCGGCATTGCCATACTTTCGGTGTTCACAGTTAATGCCATCCAATGCCATTCGAAGAGTATTGTGGAACATTTGATTCACACCTTTATGATAGTTTGGTTCCCTCTTTAGAAGAGAATGATTGAGCCACTACCTAATTATTTCACATGACTTTCAATGTTTGACCTTCTGTGTTAACAATCGAATGTTATCAAATGAACTTCGACATCTACATACGTGAATCATCGATGTCCAACACTCTCCTTTATGATTTTCTAGTTTTTTTTTTTTTTTTGTTATAAGGAGAATGACCAAACTAACCAATAAACTAGAAAAATAAAATAAAATAAAATAAAGAAAATTAAAAAAAAAAACAGCAAAATTATCTAAAGCTATCTTATAAAAAGCAATACATTGTCAAATAAGATGATTTAAAAGAATTTGCCACTGTATATAATTAGCTAAATAAAAAATATTCAAAAATATTCAAATATATCCATGTTAAGACAACTTTAAACTTCATGCCATCAATTTTTTAGTGTATCTTCTTTGTAACTTCATCAAATTAGATAAACAAGGAAATTGCATCAAGCATTTCCTCTAGCTTGTTAAACCATGTTCTTTTGAAACTTTATATTTAGTCACTCATTCAATAAAGTTTTCCTTCTCAAGCTCAACATAAGCATGATTAAAACTTATAGTATTCTACAATACGATGGTATTGATGAGCAATTTTCTTGACTTGTTAGTCAAGATTTTTGCCTCTACTTCATCTATTTGGGAATGTTGGATTAGAGATTTCGTTTTGGTGTTTTTTTCAGATTTAGTTTGAACATTCACATTATCTATATCAATGATTATGGCAAGATAAATATCCAAACTAGTTCTACCAATTTCTATGACTATTTTGAAACTTTATAGAAAATCACTTCCGATGGCAACTTCAATATCAATAGATTTTTTGTCCTTTTAGGTACTTTCAAATTAACAGAACCTCCTTCACGTTTTTTTAAATATTCTTTCATAATGGTTATACTTCCACTTTTCAAGTTTTTCTTAAGCCAGTTCTTGAAGGTGATGTAATCCTCTATAGTGTGCCCCAATAATTTGTGGTACAGACACCAAACAGATCCTGAATCTTTGGATTATAAATATAATAAATTATTTTGAAAGCATATTTGTTTTATTTTTAATAAATATATGCTCAGAAGACTGTATGGCTCAGAATAATTAAACGGTACTGAAAAATTTTCCTCTCTTTCCCAAAGGTCTTGGATGGATCACGTAAGAGAAAAATTTAAAACGATATGTACTTATTTTAGGAACGAATTGTTCTCCAAAATTTTGACACGTGCAGTTGAAAGAAGTATCTCGATGGATGAATTTGATACTTCAAGGATTGTAAGATGATTAAATTATATCCTAATCAAGGTGATGTTTGCAGTTCTTCAAGTGATGGTATAATACATTGATATTTCAGCCAAAAATTTATAAATAGGACATAATTTTGCATATCTAAATGGATGATTATGGTTGCAAGAATTCTCAATTTAGATTGTTTTAGAACCTTACTCGTTACCACCCAACTTCGGCCTTCTACTAACACCAACAAACATAAGATTTGTCAGCGAAACAATTCTCATCAATCAATGTCCAAGTTAATCAACGTCAGTACCTAAAATACTCTCATCCATTTTTTTTTTGTTGAAGCTTGCATGTTTCTAACATTTTGTTTAAGCCTTCACAATTAATGGGTATTTCTCTCTCCATGAAGAATGATTACTCATACAGCTTGACATTGCCATACATTTGATGTTCACAGTTAGTTTCATCCAATGCCTTCCAAAGAGTGTTGTGGAACAACTGATGCACACATTTACGATAGCTTGGTTCCCACATTGGAAGAGAATGACTGAGCTGACTACCTGATGGTTTTACATGATTTTTGATGTTTGACCTCGTGTTAATAATCAATTGTTATCCAATGAACATCGACATCTACATACATGAATCATCGATGCCCAACATGCTCCTTCATGATCTTCTAGATTTTTTCTCATATAAGGAGAATGACCAAACTAGCCATCAATAATCTTAATTTAAGAAAAAAAAAACAGCAAAATTATCGGTTACACAGAAGGTTCGCAGAACAAACATATGTCATAAATTTATTAGTTTATATAATCGAGCCATCTAAGTAATACACTCGTCTTTCGAAACAATGTATTGTAAGTAGTGGTGTGTCTGATTCCTTAAACCAATAAATTTATGAGACATATTTGGTCTCAATTTTCAAAATCAAAATATTATTTTTCAAAAATAAAAATATGGATATATATATTAAATTAAATTATTTTTGAATCAACTCACAAATTTTAATTTGTCGACCAACAGTGACTAAAACATTTCCAACCAAGACATGCACTGGTGGGCCCCCGAAGTCAGTAATATTGGATGATCATGAAGAGTTCTCTCACTTCCTTCTGAAGAACCTAGCAAATTTTACAAAACTCACATACATGTGTTTCGCACACAAAAAAGTAAGAAAGTAGATAACCTTAACCTTTAGCATCCCCTTTAGCTGACCCAATCGAGTCAGACCGACCCCTATCTCGGTTTAGTGGAGGAGGAACTCCGCTCCCCCCATGGCTTTTTAAAAGATGCCCTCTCTCTAACAACTTTCTTTCGAGCAACCTCTCTGTTGTCAGTTGACCTCCACAAATCCTCGGTCATGATATCAACACTATCAAGATGAATCATGTGTTGAATCATTTAGGGGTCGAGGTATTGAAATAATAAGAGGCACTGGCCCTCAATCAGTGCCCTTAGATCTCGAACATTCCCCAGTAAGGTCTTCACTTTCTTTGCCTTGCACTTTGTCGGAGAAGTGTGAATTTCCCACCGCTCGCACACGATATAATCAAGAACTTCATATTCCAATCCTTTACTTTGTTCTCAAGGCCTAACAGCTAGATCTTAGGACCTGCAGTGAATTGAATTTAGACATTGCAACCAATCCAAAAAGGAAAAAAAGTGGTTGAAGAGTTCTATCTACCATGGTATTTTCATCCTCTGGCTAAAAAGTACATAAGTTATGATGGCGGAGATTGAGTTAGGAAGAACTTGAGCAAGAATGATCTCATAACGATTGAAAATTAACTGAAACTCTCGAAAAGATGGTTGTTAAAGACCCACCTTATATTAATCTTTACAAGAAACTAAGTAGGGAGAAAAACTACAGGTAGCTTGCTTGAGGCTGGTTGATGGTCGTAGAAAAATCGTAGCATACAAAATGTAATGATCCTAGATCTTCTTAATGTCCGTCACAGAGAGGATAGAAATTTTTATACTAGGAATCGAACCAAATGATTCATAAGAGAACTTTTGAACTATGGAGCCTAAGAAACTTAACTAAAAGAATGAAAAGGAAAAGGAGAGACGTGCCGGAACTCATAGAAAGGAGAAAGAACAATGGCTCTCGGCTGCTGCACAATAATATATATATATATATATATATATATATATATATATATGTGCGCAAAAAAAAAAATTTTTTATGTGAAGAAAATACAAATATTTTTTTGAGAAAAGCCATCGACAAGACTGACACAATGAGATTACACATTACCCGAAGCAAAGTAAAAATTTCAAAAAATAAAAAAATATATTTTTATTTATCTATGTACGAAAAGAAGGGGGTGTCACGTCAAACTATCGGTTACAACTAAAAAAAAAACTTAACTAAGAGATCGTTCGCAACTTTATCCGAGAAAACCC